AATGTATATGTACTGTATCTCAGACTGGAAACTTTGTGTAGGCTATGTGTGTATGTACCAGAACTCGAATCACTAAACTTATAGTAGCCATATATGTACACATAGATTTGTATATATAGGTTTTAAAAATGAATTGGTCAGCTTTTTTATTTGGTACACACATATATTCACACACAGTGTAGAATATGCAGTTGTTACCAAGGTAAATCTAAATGTGGACGTTTTACTTCGTGCAAGGCCAAGTCCAACACCAACACCACTTGTGCAAGACACCGATTTAAAACGATTTTCAACGAGTTACCGGAACAAACTTTACTACAATAAGTTTTCAACCCATTTTTACTTAGAAATCGCGTGTGTATGTGGAGTAGCGTTAAAACGTGACTTGCTGTCGAGTTGCACTAATGTTACGCAACCTTGCAAAGAGCTGTGAGGTCTGCCCACTTCATGTCATGACGACGATGAAGACTGATACTGAGGTGCGTGGACTGCGCTCCTAACCCCTTCCCCCATAGGCAGACAGAGAGATGAAAAAAATCAACGCGCCTTTAAATAGAACCATATTGTCATTCTGACTGCTGTTATCTGACTGCTAGAGCGGACACAGATCCGCTCGTCATCCATTGCCTCACCGCACGACCGAAGAAATACACTTTTTATTCTTTCATTCTACACACTCTTCACAGTAAACATGCCTAGCAAGAGAAAGAAGAACAAGCGCCGAATGAGAAAAGTGGTGAGTAGCCTACATTTACTTTTACACTTTTTTTTCAGATTGTCTTGCAAACAATTCTGATTTATTTTTTAGTTTCCAAACTGAATTCATACTTGAAGTTTGCACTGTCGGCTTTGCATGGATTTTTTTTTTTAAGAAAATGTAGCATACCCTAATGCATTTTTAGCTAAGTCTTTCGCCAATAGGCTAATGTTGTTTAGGCTATTTAATAGCCTGCTGTATATTTGCTGCTATAAATAACATGTAATGTTATTTAAATATAAAATAAAAATAATATGTTTATAATTTTCTGAAGAATTTATTAATCTTTTCTGACATTATGTTACTTGCAGTGGCATCTGTAGTGGGGGGTGTGTCCCCATAGGAACCAGTAGGCTACAGAGATGCAAAGGAATTACACGTCCCACTTTGTATCTCTAGAAACATTTGGATTAGTTAATAAATAGAATATAATAACAATTTCTAATATTTTTGTAAATATTTTCTGTATAAAACCTGAATGAATTAATTAATTAATTTGTTTATTTATTCATTCATTAATTCCTTAGGGTTTACTGCATTAATAACTGCTCTTATTAATTAATGTATTGTCCTGAAAAAAGTGTTGCTTGGAATGTTCATTTGAAATGACCATTTCAAATAACATATTCCTGACTTCTGACCTTCTGCATTATCACAGTGTAGCACTGTGTATGACAATAAATACAAGAATCATAATAATAATAATTACTCTGCGTTTTCTATGGGTGTGTTTTACCTATAGAGTGTGATTGGTTTGCTTTGTGGCTTTTTTGTTTCTTTGTTCTGTCTGCGCAACAAACCAAACCTTGCCTTTTGACCCCACCCTTAAACTCATATGGACTTTTGTTGATTTTGGCACATCCCTTCAGTCAGTCTGATTCCTAACATGGTTCAGGGCACATTCCTACAGAGGCTGTTGGTCCAGAGACCACCAGAAAAACCATTGCATCCACTGGTTTTGTGTATCACTGACCCATTATGAACCCATTGATTTTTAATAAATATATTTTTGGTAAGTGATTTAGTTTGCATTCTGTCAGTGCAAAGGAATGTTGAACTATACTGACCATGCCTCACCACTCCAAGACATTTTTGTCTTCTCTTGACCAGTGACATAATGAAACACACACAGTTTGTGCATGTGAACACTGGACTCTTTGTTTGAATTTTACAGCAGCTTTTTAAAGTGCATGTCATTAAAATCTCACCCTTTTCATTCTTAGCTAAACATGTAGTTGTTATTGTCCTAAAACTTTGGCATGCGGTCATATCAACAGAACTGCCTTTCACACAAGTACAGAAATAGAGGGGTATCTTTTATCTCTCTAGCTGTTAAGCCCCCAAGACACAGCTGGTCCTAAACAGGGCACATTTTACCCTCTCTAATCATCCTGGTAAAATAGGAAATAGTGAGTACTGGGGGTGAGTGCATTCCAACGCCCTGTTTGTTGCTAACCGGTGCTTCAGAGCAGAAGAAATATCTTTTAAAACTCAGCTGCCAGATCCAATTAACTCATCTTTTTCAGCTGTAGGCCCATCTTCCAAACTAGTTTCTCCTGTTTTTATAGAATGAACAACCTTGAAGCAAAATGTGCTTTTTTTGTTTTTTTCTAACCACCTCCTCTGTTCCCCCAAATGCCAGACCGTTTATTCTGTTATGGCCTGTTTCATGGACTCGGGCCCATGTTTTGCCTGATTTGGCTTTGTCAGTGCTGATGCTGGTCTTCACACATGGTTGCATAATTGGCCTTAACTGTGCTGGCCACTGTACACCCCATACATGCACAATGAGAGCTTAAATTCTTTTGAGACCTATGTAAACCGCACTGGCCAGCCCTTGCTTTTGGATAATGAAGTTGTGAGTGTGATTATAATGCGATTATGGTTCCATTATGATGTGATTAGCATTTTTGTCCATTCTGTTTAGCCCCATCCAGAGCTCCGAGGGGTGCTGACTCTTCCAACTCGCTTGACTAGGCATGTCTGAATCAATTGGATTCAGCCATTTTTTGCCATTAGACGGCCAACTTTTGTTCACTTATGTAAGCTCTTAGTGAATTTGTTAAACCCTGTCTAATACCATTATGCAGTCAAGTGAACTAAAGATAAGAAATAAAATGGTTCTGATTTCAAATCTCAACTATTTCTCATTCTTTTATTTGTTTTGAGCAGCAGGCCCAGAGAAAGGCTCTGGAGGAGTGGTTCGCCTCCTCTGGAAAGGGAACCCCAGGAGTGTGTGCTTTCCCTGCCCCAGTTCCTGCTCTAGTTCCAGTTGTTAAAACCTCAAAGTGTCCAGTTGCCGTTCCAATTCCCCTGCCAGTGATTGCTCCCATTGACGTTCTTGCTGAAGTTCCTCCTGCAGTCGCATTAGAAGTCCCAGTCACAGATGTCATCAAAGATGAAGTGGTGAAAGATACAGAGGACCTAGGACAGACCCCAGTTGAACCTCCTGCAAAAGAGCCAGATGTGACTGAGGAAGGTGAAAGCATTGTCATTCCAGTATCAGAGGTAATGTGCTATTGAACCCCATTCTTTGAGGTCAGTCATATAGGTTCAGAGCTGTTGATAATTATCAAGTGCACACAAAAAAATTGTACGAAGTCTGTAATTTATCATGTAGATGTTACTGTTGTGACCAATATAAGTATTTGCCT